CGGCGCTCAGGACGGTCCCACCCAGGCGGCGGCGGCGGCGACTCGCCCTCTTTTTACGCAACTCGCGCCGGAGGAGCGCGCACCGGCCTGGTACCCCGCAGTCTGCGCGCCTCGGGATGCGCAAGTCACGCCCTGGGATTCACGTGTCGCCGCTCCGCGACCTTCGCCCGAAAGAGGCGGTGCTGCTCTTTTAAGGCTGTAGGAGACGACGGGCCGGGAAGCCTTTCCCTCTAATCCGGAAGCTGGCCCTATTTAAAGGGAGCGGGCGCTGCAGAAGCGACCGAAGTGGGAGGCTGTGCTGGAGGCTTGATTTTAAAAAGGACATAAACTTAAAACGCTTATGAAGGCAGCCAACCCTTGAAAGGAGGAGCCGCTAAGGAAAAGGCTGCAGAATGGAGAGAGAATTTGCGTATGAATTCAACGCTGGGAACCAGCATTTTGTACTTACCGTGCCCCTGAAATTCCCAGTCCAAGAAAACGTTAGTCACTTGCCTCGGCGCCTAATGCTTCTTCATAATCTGCCGTGCTTCGTGGAAAATGGCTTAAAAGAAGCTCTGACTAGATTCATAGAGGAGCGGTCTGTACAAGATTTTGATAGAGAAGCAGAAGCGGCCCTGGAAGCTGTAAAATCTGGTAAAGTGGATTTACACCAGCTGGCGAGTGCTTGGGCCCAAGCATACGCTGAGGCAACTTCAGAACATGCCAGACCAGAAGACCCCAGCTGGGATGAAGATTTTGCAGATGTTTATCATGATCTCATCCATTCTCCTGCCTCTGAAACTCTGCTAAACCTGGAGCATAACTATTTTGTTAGCATCTCCGAATTAATAAGCGAGAGGGACGTGGAGCTGAAAAAACTGCGAGAAAGGCAAAGGGCGGAAATGGATAAGGTGATGCAAGAACTGGGGAAATCATTAACGGATCGAGACGTAAACATGTTGGCAGCTCAGCACTTTGAATCCCAGCAGCTACTGGAGAACAAGTGGAACAATGAATTGAAACAAACCACAGCGATCCAAAAACAGGAGTACCAGGAATGGGTGGTGAAACTTCACCAGGACCTGAGAAATCCCAACAGCACTATTGGGGATGAGATCAAAGTTACTCCCAATCAGTGGAGAGAATCTGAAGAAGGAACCGGAAGACTCTTTGAGGACCAGAGGCAATTGGAAGAAAGTTTCACTATCCATTTGGGAGCACAGCTGAAAACGATGCATAATCTGCGACTGCTGAGGGCAGATATGCTAGATTTCTGCAGGCATAAGCGCAGTCACCGCAGCGGAGTCAAACTCCATCGGCTTCAAACTGCACTGTCGCTTTATTCAACGTCGCTTTGTGGTCTAGTCTTGCTTGTGGATAATCGCATCAGTTCATACAGTGGGATCAAAAGAGATTTTGCAACTGTTTGTCAGGAGTGCACAGATTTCCATTTTCCTGGAGTTCAGGAGCAGCTTGAAGTTGTTCAGCAAGTTGTACTTTATGCTCGAGCACAGCGAAGTAGCAAGTCCAAAAGACTAAACGAAGCAGGAAACAGAAACAGCGGCAATGAAGATAAATCTAAGAATGGTGAGCAGAATCAATCAAATATTTTTCCAGGGGAGTTTTACATCACCCGACATTCAAATCTCTCTGAAATTCATGTGACTTTTCATCTGTGTGTGGACGACAATGTGAGGTCAGGTAATATTACAGCCCGGGATCCTGCAATCATGGGCCTCCGAAATATCCTTAAAGTGTGTTGCACCCATGACATCACTACAGTTAGCATTCCTCTTCTGCTGATACATGATATGTCTGAAGAAATGACAATATCTTGGTGTCTGAAAAGAGCAGAGCTTGTATTTAAGTGTGTCAAAGGGTTTATGATGGAAATGGCTTCCTGGGATGGTGGGATTTCTCGAACTGTTCAATTCTTGGTACCACAGAGTATTTCTGAAGAAATGTTTTACCAACTGAGTAACATGTTGCCACAGATTTTCCGTGTGTCATCTACACTCACTCTGACGTCCAAACACTGAACTCCCTCCAATGCTCTACAAAGGATTAATAAGATGATGACACTGGATTCATTTTAATACCTGAAACACTTCAATATCTTGAACATGATTGTGGAAATTCCTAACAGAAGCACCTGCAGTATTAAAACAAAAAACAAAAAACTGTACTTCCATGCCTTCACAAAGGAAAATGGGTAATGGGTTATTTTTCTTTTTTTGCCAGTTTGGCTTCAAGCCCTCCCACTGTATTTAATGCTGTTCTTAGGTTCTTCCAACCCTTAGATAACAAGAACTGTAGTGGTAAAGTGGGAAGCTAAAATATCTGTGAAGCACTGGATATTAGCCAAGTTGTAATTTGGAAATATAATTGTCAAAGGAAAAAGCTCTTGCTTTTTTTTTTTTCTCCCTAGATATGGATGTATCAACATAGACGTTTCCTTACACATTTTGTTTTGAGTGTGACACTGTTATATATTTTATTCTTCAGGACTCTAACTCCTGCTACCATCAAATACTTGGCTGGATTTTTGCAGCCCAGATATAGTAGTTCTATTTTAGATGACATTCTGTTTTGGTTTTGAGCTCATAAAAGAGATAAACATGGAGAATTCATGTCCATTGCAGTAAATTAAGAACTTCAACTTTTTAAACAAATAAGAGCAGGAGAGCAATTCAGGTCCTTCCAACTTCATTGTGGGATTCATGCATTGTACCTAGCCATGTAGCAGTTTGGTTTTGGCTTAATGTGTTGTGTGATCCCAGACATTATAGTTTGTAAATCATGGCTTATGATTTAGAATGTGTAGAAAAATAGGATTTGCGCTGCAAATACACAGGGTATTGTTTCTATATTGTAGATAGTGGAGATAATATCAGAACAACGCCATCTTACTTATCTTTCTACCAATAAGCAAGAACATTTTCCTTTAAGTAGGATAGGCTTCTGCTGCTGATTTGGTAGAACAAGGTGCTATTTGGTAATGGTACTTTTGGAGAAAGATGGGATGGAAGCTGAAGAAATAAATACATTACTAAAAGAAGTGTAACCATAATTTGATCTCAAATTAATGAAATTGACCAGGCGTGCCTCTGTTTCATCTAGATTAAGAAATGAGTTTGTAACCCACAATTAATACTAATTTCAATTTGGTTTTAGGTTGGTATTTTTTTTAAAAAAATCATTAATTAAAAATATAGTGGAGTATATACAAAAGCAAAATACATATAACCTTATTTAATTAGATTATCTAGGAACATGGATTGGATAATAGACAATTATTATGACTTTGTTGTGCATAATTAATAAGTATAAACTAAGTGAAATAAAATCATACAGCCATTTTTGGTGGTCAGTTTTCCATTATGGAAATTTTCTAGCATATTTGTCACCATATGAAAATATTCCAATTCTTTCCTATTTTCCAGGGTTTTGCTACTACTTGTGTTTTAAAGTATTGCTTGGATTATCAAAACAAACAAAAACAAAACCTTAATGAGGCCAACTTAGGACCTAATGTGATGGCCAGAATTGTGGCTTGTCTATTTGTCAGCCTTACCAGGTAGACCAGACAGGAAGCACAACCAGACAAACTAATTACTTTATTGTAAAGCTACATTAACAGAATCTTGCAAATCTGAATGTACAGTTCTCCTGACTTCACCGTTACAGCCTGAGAATTTAGGGAGGGTCCCTTCTGAGCCTCTTGCTCTACCACTATGCAGCTGTGGGCTATGCTGCCTCTTATCTGACTGTTCCCTAGACAGCATCTCTTCCCCCCCATCTCCCAAGGTTTTTCCACACTATTTTTACACTATTCAATAAAACTGAAATCCAAAAAGACTTTATCGAACCAGCACATGTGATAAAATGAACCCATTTCTTTATATTTCCTCCAATAACTGTGGCTTATATTAGAATTCATCATGTTGAGTTTCTTTAGTTTTAAATATCTATAAATTGCTTTTGTTGAGTGTTCCCTAATTTTGACCAAAATGGATTTTAATGGTTTTCTCTATCAGAAGATAACCATGAAGTCAAGGTAAAGGGTTTTTAAATATCTGATTCTAATATCGCCTTTAACCAATTCAAAAAGTTTATCTTCTAACAGAATGTTGTAAATTTTTGAAATCCTTCCTTTCTCCCTATTGGGTGATGAATTTAACTTAATTTTAAATTTAGTCATGGCTGTGGCTGTATAGGTTCTAATTGCTAGAACTGCAGTGAAATGCAGCATATGTATTTGAAAACCATGAATGAGCTAAAATTCTTAACATTATTTGCAATTGTTTGCCCATTTTAAAAATGTTCCTATCATTTCAAAACTTCCTGTCAAAATTCTTTTAAATAATAAAGTCCCTTAATTTCCCAAACCTGATACTGTTCAATTTTATTTTCATCATAAAAGTTTTATAAAATATAAAAGTATAAAGGGGTGATGGATGTGGAGTTAAATTAGGGACCCATATTTTCCAGCTTTTTGAACCTATTCAGAAGAAATGGATTTTGAATGTTTCAGTTTTTTATGCATAACTTTGGCAAGAGGAAGTGCCCTAATTTTTGCTAGTGTTACTTATACGTTCCATCTTTAATTAAAGTACCAGTTCTTCTGACTTTATCAAGCTAAAAATATTAGCAATATGATTAGTATCATAGGATATAATATTTGGAATTCCAAGGCCGCCTTCATTGATGTTTTTATAAAGAATTTTTAAAAAATTATTCTTGCTTTTTTGCTACTATGTTTAGTTTACTAATCACTTTTTACCATTTGTAGAGATTTTTTTCAGAAATATATGTAGGAATTATTTGAAAGAGGATAAGAAGTAAGGAAATAGCGACATTGTTACTGCTGCTTTGTGTGTGCGCTTTTGAATCAGTCTTGACTCCTGGCATCAAGTTCCTGCAGGTATCTTGGCAAGATTTTCAGAAGTGGGTTGCCCTTGCCTTCTTCCTGGGGCTGAGAGAAAGTCATCCAGCTGGCTATAATACCTAATGCAAGACTAGAACTCAGTCAGTTTTCCTGTTTCTAGCCTGGTTGTCTTTAACTACCACACCAACCTGGTTCTCCCTACTATTTTAGCAAGCCATTGTAATTTTAATTTTGACCACTGTTTCATTTTCCTGAGTAACTAACCAATTGTTTCATGGTCATTGGAAATAATTTGTTCAAATGTTTAGGAAAATAAACCTAGATATTTGAAAGAGTGTTTACAGATTTTAATTCCTGATGATTTGCTCAATATATTCTGTATTGTTGTAGGAGTATTGATATGTAGAAATTCTGAGTTAGAAATGTTAATGCATAAACTTGCTAATTTATCAAAATTTGTAAGTGTTTAGAAAATGCCTTAAGGGAGTTTGATACAATTAGGGCAATATCATTAACAAAAATATTTATAGCATGTGCCATTAGTTTCTAATCCCTGTATTTCCAAACATGCTCTATTTCCTTTGCTAAGGGCTCTGATGGAATAGCAAATAATAGTGGAACAAACATCCTTGTTTAGTACCTTTTTTTAATCAAAAATGTTGATAACTTTTTGATAAAGGTTGGTCTTTACCATCAAACCATTTAAGGCGCTCGCTTTGCTTGAAGACAGTATCACAATTGAAAAGAACATAAGAAAAGCTGAATTTAGATAGTTTGCTTTGTTTTCCAACAACTTCTCAAACTGTGCCATCAATTATGATTTAGCAAACTATAGCTTAAATAAAAAGAAAAGTAAATGGTGGCTTAGTGTCATGTGTGAACCCAATCTGCAGTACTTGAATCCCAAAAGTAACCCCTATGTTATCCTCAGGTTACTTTTTTCTGTGATTCCATAAGGGGAAAAAGAGAGTATACTAACTAAAGTTTCTCTCTTCTTCCTACTGATATACTGATGTCACCAGCACATCCATTTTACTAAATCAGCAGATTAATTTTGTGTCAAGCTAAGACATGATCTGATTGGTTGGTTTTGGCTAAGTAAGTTGTATGAGCGTAGATACTATAGTACGTAAAACATGTTTATGAGATATATGAACCATATTGTGTTTCTCCAGCAATGATTATTACTAATGTATGTTAATCTAGCCCTGTGTCTTAAGTAACAAAAATGATAGAACAAATTATGGTTTAGAATGCTGTACAATCCCAATTTATGAATGTTGAAATGTATATCATAGAATTAACTGCTATTTGGAGCTGAGCTCACAGTTAACTGAATGGGTTCCTTCAAATTATAATTCACTTAAAATTTATATTGTAGGACATATGTATATCTTAGCCATTTGTCATGTATATTAGGAAAAATCTTTGCTTGAGTTTTGTTACTATTGAAAATTTGCTAATATTCTTGTAACAGTATCAGATGTTTTTATGAAAAGTCATGAAGTATAATTTAAAATGTTTTATCGGAAATAACCATTTGGAGAAGCAAAAATAGTGGTATTAAAAAAAAGACTCAAAAGACAATTTTGTAAAAAGTCTTGGGAAGTCATGAAAATAGGAAGGGAGAGAACTTTAAATTAGAACATTGAAGAAAAGAATGGGGGTAGAAAAGTGAACAGAGTAGAATGTCCAGAATACATTTGGCATTACTTCTTTGGAGAAAACTTAAATAAAAATCCATCACTTTGACTTGGGTAAGTTATTCTTTGTACAGTGAATCCTCTGGAAAATGGTAAAATTGTACAGCTGTACATTTATATTTTAGAAATGTTTTTGTAGCATACAATAGTATTTAATTTCTTCAGGAAATTGTCTAAACAAGAAAAATATAAATTACATAGGAAAAAAGGAATTTAAAATATATAAAACTTGTGCTTAAAACTGGTAAGACTTCCATTCTCTCTGATAACTTGCAGCCTTCTCTTCTTGGCTTTTACAAAGGGGTAGTCATAATGATGGTTTCCTCCTAAAGAAAAATTGGTGTTTGAGATTTAATGTTAAATGTATACTAAGTGACAGCAATCCGTTGATAGTAAAATGACTTGCTTAATTCTGTAATGATCCATGCATTAGTAAAAAAATAAAGACAGTGATCTAAATTGTTGTTATTGTTATTACTTAGATATAATTACTATGCACTGAAGAATGCCATAGGCAGAATTCACATACAGTCAGGTCCAGAAATATTGGGACATCGACACAATTCTAACATCTTTGGCTCTATACACCACCACAACCCATTACTTTTGGTCCCTTACCAAGTGGGAGGCACATATGCAAACTGTTGTAATTCCTACACACCACCACAATGGATTTGGAATGAAACAAACACAATGTGCGTTAACTGCAGACTGTCAGCTTTAATTTGAGGGTATGTACATCCAACTCAGGTGAACGGTGTAGGAATTACAACAGTTTGCATATGTGCCTCCCACTTGGTAAGGGACCAAAAGTAATGGACACCACCACAATGGATTTGGAATGAAACAAACACAATGTGCGTTAACTGCAGACTGTCAGCTTTAATTTGAGGGTATGTACATCCAACTCAGGTGAACGGTGTAGGAATTACAACAGTTTGCATATGTGCCTCCCACTTGGTAAGGGACCAAAAGTAATGGACACCACCACAATGGATTTGGAATGAAACAAACACAATGTGCGTTAACTGCAGACTGTCAGCTTTAATTTGAGGGTATGTACATCCAACTCAGGTGAACGGTGTAGGAATTACAACAGTTTGCATATGTGCCTCCCACTTGGTAAGGGACCAAAAGTAATGGACACCACCACAATGGATTTGGAATGAAACAAACACAATGTGCGTTAACTGCAGACTGTCAGCTTTAATTTGAGGGTATGTACATCCAACTCAGGTGAACGGTGTAGGAATTACAACAGTTTGCATATGTGCCTCCCACTTGGTAAGGGACCAAAAGTAATGGACACCACCACAATGGATTTGGAATGAAACAAACACAATGTGCGTTAACTGCAGACTGTCAGCTTTAATTTGAGGGTATGTACATCCAACTCAGGTGAACGGTGTAGGAATTACAACAGTTTGCATATGTGCCTCCCACTTGGTAAGGGACCAAAAGTAATGGACACCACCACAATGGATTTGGAATGAAACAAACACAATGTGCGTTAACATTGTGGTGGTGTATAGAGCCAAAGATGTTAGAATTGTGTCGATGTCCCAATATTTCTGGACCTGACTGTATAATGCTACTTCATAATGTTGCTGGGTATAGTGGTTGGGTATAGGATTGTGTGAACTGTTGAGATTTGCAGATCTGTATAAACTAAGCACATAATGGCTTAGTATAATGTATGAATCAGACAATTATGGTTTATAAACAAACATTACTTTGGGCTAATTTTTGACCTAGCCCCTTAGTCTGCGGAAGGGTCATGATTTGTTTCCCATGGTTCTTACATTGGCTGAGATCATGCAACATGTTAAGTCTCAATGTGGTTTATTCAGTAAATCAGATTAAATAAAAATGGCTTAATCCAGCTATATTTCTTGTTGAACAAAACACAGTTGTTTAGTTTACATGCCATGGGACACTTATAAACCACCATAGCTGGATTCAAATCCAGCCCAAAAAGCAACATTATGGCTTTGCCTATGGTGTAGATGAAATCTGTACATTCAAGCTATCTGTTAAGCTAGCAGAGATTGCATTCATAGACTGTGCAAAACTACGGTAACAAGCAAAGCATGTCATCAAGATCTGGACCACGGGTCAAACTTTGGTTGACAATAGATTTTTTCATACCGATTATGTGACTTTTCTCATCCAAACCCAGATGAAGGTTATTCTGAAGTTAATCTTCCCTTCCAATCTATGAACAGAGGGAGAATCAGCTAGCTGCCTCTTTTCCCTTTTTCTTTCAGTCTCTCATGGGCACTTGAAATAATGCCCCATACTGGTGCCTACAGCCTCCATCTCACTAGAGTAGAAAAATAATGCTTAAATTGGGATTATTTTTTATTGAGTCAGGCCACTGCAGTTTTTACAGTGAAATGTCAATTTTCTGGTCCTCAGTAAAATGGATTTGGTGTATAATGGATCAAATTCTGTTGTAATTTATGTCATTTGAATGATGAGGTACTGATGACCACCCTGGTTATATCATAAGGAACTATCATGGATAATTGCAACTTTTTCCTCTCTCATTGCCAATAGACTTGCACTAAGAGACACTATACAAGCATTGTAATTATTAGAGATGCTGCAAGATTAAGCTGAAAACTGAATATCTATCTGTGTGAAAATGGGAGCTATTAACTATTTCCCTATCTGGTTAAATGCTGGCACTTCAACTCAAAACCTGGATTTGATACTTATAAACAAAGATACACTAAAATCGGAAGTGACAGAAGTCGAATGGTTGATTCCCCAGTCAAAAGGTTTCCATAGAGGTGAAGAAAAAGCCCTCAACTCTAGCATTTTTTCCTACTGGCCATTCTGACCAGGACTATTCAACTTCCCTAGCATCTTAACCAGCTAGGGAAGTCACTCATAGTTCCTGTTTTTAGATAGATGAGAAAGATGATGGATGGATGGATGGATGGATGGATGGATGGATGGATGGATGGATGGATGGATGATAGATAGATAGATAGATAGATAGATAGATAGATAGATAGATAGATAGATAGAAAGATAGATAGATAGATAGATAGATAGATAGATGTATTCAATTTTCAGTTTAATCTTGCAGCATCCTAATAATTACAATGCTTGTATAATGTCTCTTAATACAATCTATCGGCAATGAGAGAGGAAAAAAACTTGCAAATATCCCATCACAAATTCTGTGACACTTTCTATTGCAGTATCTTTATTCCCATCCTTTTTTCTTTCTGCAAGACATTGCAGTGGAGCTAGTTTAGATTCCTACTGTGGCTTTGGAAGTTCTGTACTTTCTCTTCTAGAACAGCAAGTTCAATATTATTCTACAGCAGCAAGAGACTGAGCCCAAAAGTTAAAAAA